CCTGTACTTCACTATTTTCTGAAATTTCTTTATTTTTTCCCATTCACTGTGACTTTTTAATAATTTATTTTAGAAGAGTTGTAATTTTGTGGAAAAACTGCAATGATACTACAGATGCTGCTCATATATCCCACACCCACTTTCCCCTATTATTAATGTCTTTTATTAGTATGGTACATTTCCCACAATTAATGAACCAACATTGATTTATTTCTTTGAACTAGACTTTGCTTTTTGATAGTAAGTTTCTAGAATATGTGGAATGAGAGAGATTGCTGTGACCACCTTTGAAGAATATAGTCTGCCAGTGAGGTACACGCAGAAACCAATCTTATGCTTTTTCCCACTGCCTCTTTAAACTGCTCTGTGAATTCATTTTTCCCTATGCTTTGAATAAAATTTCAGTCTAATCTCTTACTATAGTAGGCCATTATTTACCTTTACTTGGTATTTCTCTCTGCAGGAGGATTATACTTTCCTGCCCTCGTGACCTCAGGTGTAGCCATATGACTTGAACAGGATTAATGTGTCACTTCAGGGCAGAATCCTCTACAGGCAGCATGGGGTTTACCATGTTTTTCTTTCCCTCTGTCATGATGACAAACAGTGTTCAAGGTAGTGACTACTCCCTCAGTCTAGATCCCAGAGTGAACCACACGCACAGCCAAGCTAAAACTGATGTGGTCCAGCACACCCCTTTATGGTATGGGGTAAGTGTCATGTATTACATAGTTCTGCATCTCTGGGCCTCTCTAAAACACACGAAGTTCTTGTAGGCTTTACTGAAATGCCAAAACAAAAAAAAAATCCTGTCTTGAAATCCCATTTCTGCTATTCCTTAGAGTTATCTTTCTTTAGATGTATGTGCATGAAAACATTTCACAAAATTTTTAACTGCAAGATTATTTTTAAAATCAACATTAACATACAGAAGGGAGAGCAGCTACATAGATACAGGACTACAATAACATGTGGCATCCCATAAACCACTTAATGTCTGTGTTGCTTGTTATTCTGGTAAGTGGGAAAGTCCTATTTTAAAAAGGTGTTAAGAAAAACTAAACTATGTACGGAATATATAAATTAACACATCTTAGAGTACTATTTTTGGCTACCTTGACAGAGATATAACTATTTTAACAGATCTTTTTCATGGCTTTTTTTTAAATAACTCCCAAAAGCTACGGGATGTGTGTATGACCAAGATGCCAAATAGATAATAGAGCTGGGTCTCAGTCCTCTTGCTTAATGACTTCCCTATTAAGCATAAGTACTATTTTTGTTGTTGTTTTTCCCCTACATCCTTCTGTATTATAGTAGGATAAGATGAAAGATAAAGGAAAATATGTGTTTTCCTAAAGTCACCTGCATCTTCTTTGGATCTGAAACTGGAACACACAGGCTTCTGCTTCAGGTGACCACTTCATCCCTCCCCTCCTTGTCATTACTTTCATTTAAAAAATTCTACTGCATGACAGAGAACCACAGGACTCTGTCATAGTTTTTTTCTGTATTATAGGTGTCTTTTTATGCAAAATCATGCACTACGTATGTACTGGTGAGCAGCAGAAAATATTAAACACATATAACCAGGCATTTCTGTACTTCTCATAGGTAGCAAGTCTATCAATATGCCCCTTTGTGAGAGTAATTGGGATGATGAAAAGCCGACTTTGGGAAATGGAGGTTTGGCAGTAGCAGTAGGTACTGACCGGACAAGAGAATGAAGAAGTAGATGGATATGAACGGTCTACATGACCCGGAAATTGCCATCCCTTTGATATCACTGACAAGCATAGATTATGAACCCTAATTCCTATTCATAAAATTCTCTTAATGCAGACAGCATATGTTTCATACGGTCATATATTTCTTATTAACAGGAATATATTGCAAGAAATGTGTCATGAGGAGGTTTCACCACTGCGTGAACATCATAGAGTGTACTTATACAAACCTACATGCTGGGCTATATGATACAGCCTACAGGTCCCAGGCTAAAACCTGTACAGCATGCTACTGTACTGAATACTGCAGGCAATTTTAACACGGTTATTTGTGTATCTCAACATATCTAAACATAGAAAAGGTAGAGTAAAAATACAATATTATAATCTTAAGGGACTATCATCACATATGCACATCCTGACCAAAATGTTCTTATGTGGTGCATGACTGTATTTCTCCCACCAGACTAGCAGCTGCATCATTGCAGAAGTGATGTCTGCCTTTTATATTCTTAAGCCCAGTAAAGCTTCTGGTTGAAGTGATCATTAAATATTTTTTGAATAGATCCATTAAATGAATACCACACATAGATTCGGCCTTTTGTCTTTTTTTTTCAGAGTATTCTTTGGGTACGAGTAGGCTCCTATCCAGTTACTGCATTCAGCTCAATATCTAGGATCTCCAGGTATAGTCGGGGCTTCCTTAGTTTGAAAGTGATTCCTTATGGTCCAATGGCCTATGAACTAGTAGGAGGCAATTATCTGTTTCCCACTCTCACCCAATAAATAATGGTGAAGGAGGGATACAATCACAATAAAAAAAATTCTATTAAAAAAAAACAGAAGATGTGCAGTGGGCATTGGTCTAGAGCAATGCTGGGGCCGGGTGCGGTGGCTCACGCCTGTAATCCCAGCACTTTGGGAGGCCGAGGCGGGTGGATCACGAGGTCAAGAGATCGAGACCATCCTGGTCAACATGGTGAAACCCTGTCTCTACTAAAAATACAAAAAATTACCTGGGCATGGTGGTGCGTGCCTGTAATCCCAGCTACTCAGGAGGCTGAGGCAGGAGAATTGCCTGAACCCAGGAGGCGGAGGTTGCGGTGAGCCGAGATGGTGCCATTGCACTCCAGCCTGGGTAACAAGAATGAAACTCCATCTAAAAAAAAAAAAGCAATGCTGGTAGCCTGTAAGACAGGTGTTATGAAATTCCCTCCTCTGATCAGGCCTTGATTCTACTCTCTGGTAGGGCACCCCTTTAACATCATCCTGAGAGATCTTTCTTTCCATCCTTTAGGTTTTATTCCATTTCCTTGGTCCTCCTTGGGAAAAGGGGCTGTTTAGCTTTTGCAGCTCACTTCTTGAAGAAATAAGCTTGGCTATTGCTAATAGTTTTGTCACTATCATTTGTTTCATTTTGTGTTTTGTTTTGCACATTTTATATAAATTGTATTGAGGAAGAATATTCATAAAATATCCATTTTTAAGTTTATAACAATAAATTTTCACAAGTATATATACTATTACTTCAGTCAAGGCATAGAATATGTTCATTACCCAAAAATTTCCCTTGGGTTTCTTTGCAGTCACTTTTCCCCCTGACTCACTCCATCCCTGCCCCAAGTGTCACTGATATGCCTTTGCTCTAAGTTTTACATGTTCTAAAAATTTCATCCAATATCCAGCTAGCATGAACATCTCCAATTGCCACACAGATGTTATAATATAGTTTAAATTGTTTGTATGAATCAAATTCAAATAAGAACGGCATACTTAAAATGATTCGCATATCCTTTAAGTCTCTTTTAATATCCTTCTCTCTCCTCTCATCCTAATAATTTGTTGCAGAATCTAGGTCATTTGTCCTGTGGATTTTTCTGACAATCTAGATATTGTTGATTGCATTGGGTATTTAACATGTTCCTCTGTCTTCTACTTTTTGTAGATGGTAGTTCTATTTAGAGACTTTATCCACTCCTGATTTGATTTTTTTTGTTTTTGTCCTCATGCATCTTTAAATGCATTGACATTCTTTTGATTTTGAGTAATAGAGAACTAAATATGCAAAACAGTGAAATTTATTGACTCATATAACTGAAAATTCCAGGGCATATCACGGATTTTGGGCTCATACCATGTAATCACATCCTGGTTTTTCTATCTTTCTGCTTCATACTGTTCTCTTTTGAGTTTTGGCTTCATTCTCTATGGCTTCTCTGGTTCAAATCCATAGGAAATAAAATTGCTTCCTGGTGGTTCAATTTTATGCCATTGGCAGTCATTGGCTTGTCTTGGGCATGTGTACATCCTGGACCAATCAGTGACATTAAGGAAATATGATATTCCGATTGGCCTGATGAGGGCGCCATTGTGAACCACTTCATCTGTTACTCCATTTAAAGGCTGTTAGTCTTGTCCCATCACAGTTGTTTTGCAGAGATAAATTTATTTTACAAAACAGAATTATTAGCGACTTTCTACTATGTCTTTACATACAATAACCTTTTCTGTTGTCGTTGTTGAGAGAAAGTCTCACTCTGTTGCTCAAGCTGGAGTGCAGTGGCGCGATCTCAGCTCACTGTAACCTCCACCTACACGCAGGACACAGGGTGACAATGCATTTAAGGGGTGCAAACGTTTCAGGTGGGGTTACCGTGTGGAATAAAGAGCTCAGAAGTGGAACTTGGTCTACTTTACCAGGTTATTTTTAACGTCAACTGCAGAGTACTCGTAATTTCATTTATTTGGCGGTGACTGCCAGCATCAGAGTGCGGTAGAAGCGTCATGAGAAAGGTGAGGATACCCCGGACAGGATACAGCGTCCCGCGGGCGGTCGCAGCTGCCGGGCTCAGACAGCTTCACTCCGCCCGGCCTCCCCACCGCTGGCAGAGACCGACCGGAACCACGCCCCTCCCGGGCACCGGCTCCGCGATTGCGTCACTTCCGGTCCGCCGCGATTCGCCTCCGGGTTAGGCTGAGCCTCCTGCTTTCTGTGACTGGTGGAGCTGCCGTGCTGTCCGCGTTATCTCCTCCCGGTGAGAACGAACCGCAGTGTCCACCAGCGAGGAGCTAGCCCTGTCCCGGACAGAGAAAGACGACGAGGATACCTGGGAGCGGGCGGCGGCCGGGCTGGGCCGCGCCAGTGCGGGCTGGCGACTCTGCTCCTCCGCTTGCTGCTGTCTCTGGGAACTGGGTGCCAGCGCTGAGGGGCTTCCAGCGGACAGGGACCCCCTTCCCCGGCTCCCCTGCCCACCCTGCCGGGGAGGGCGGAAGATGCCGGTGAAGAAGAAGAGAAAATCCCCTGGGGTGGCAGCCGCAGTAGCGGAAGACGGAGGCCTCAAAAAGTGTAAAATCTCCAGGTACCATCTCCCCCTACCCTTCGAGCTTTACTCCTCCCTCCTTTGCTGGACCACGGGAGGAAAAGGAGTCGGGCCCGGCCTACCGGGCTGGGGCTGGAGCAGGTGAGGCCCCTTTGATCGAGCTAGGCGGTAGGTGCGGAATACCGCGAGTCTCCGCTCGACCCGACCTCGTGTTCCAGTGTGTGCACGCTGGCGATTATGGAGAGACGAGAAGAGCCGCCCACGTTTCGAGTCTACGTGCCCTGCAGGGTGGGGAACAAATGCATATGTAAATTGCGCTTCGATCCCCCTGCCCCCACCCGACCCCCAGTCTACTACTCTTTTATCGCTCCTCTGCCTTTTTCTAGACTTAGAAGTGAGTACAGATCCGCGGAAGGGTCACTTCTAGAATTTCTTTGTAGAGTGTGAAGAAAGCAGAACATAAGGAATCTTGACAACTGTCTTGGGAACGGTAGGAAGGAAAACTTGTATGCTGTAATTGACATCCATATTTAGTATCCGGAGTGGCCTAACCCGGAAGGTCCCAGCAGGAGGCCTTTTAGATTGCTGGAGCCCCAGTTTCTGGAAGTGCCGTGCCTCACCTATGCCAAGTCCCTGTGTGCAGAGTTGGAAAGGCCCTGCCTGCGTTTTGTCTTCTAGCATTCAGGACGCTGTTAGCTCTCAGTATAAATTTAATAATTTAATTTGAGCTCTTGTACTGCGTGTCCTCTTGGTAAGAAGACAAGGCAGAACTATGTAGTTGTAGCTCTTTGATCCCTTTGTAGCATATCATGGAGGCATCACAGCAAAATTATATGCTACAAAAAAAATTGCAATTTTGGTGTGAGAATTTTTTTTTTTTTTAATTTGAGAGCGAGAGTCTTGCACTGTCGCCAGGCCTGGAGTACAGTGGCGTGATCCTCTCATTGCAACCTCTGCCTCCCGGGTTCAAGCGATTCTCCTGCCTCAGCCTCCCGGGTAGCTGGGATTACAGGCGCCCGCCACCACGCCCGGCTAATTTTTTGTATTTTTAGTAGAGGCTGTTTCTCTGTGTTGGCCAGGCTGGTCTTGAACTCCTGACCTTGTTATCCGTTCACTTCTGCCTCCCAAAGTGCTGGGGTTACAGGCGTGAGCCACTGCGCCCGCCCTAGAAGTGCCTTTTTAAAAAATACCCATATTAGCTGCCTTTTCATCAATAGCTGGCACTTGATATGACAACTTTAGATGCTGCTATTAAAAGAAGACAGTATAATGATAGAGCTCTCCGTAAAGAGAGATCTGCTTGAACTGTGAAGTAGGTGACTTACCTAGTCTGCATCTTCTTTTTTGTAACTGCGCGACTTTTCCCCCTCATTACTGTGTTTTGGTAAAGGAGTCTAAGGAGTATTTCTTGGGCTATTAATGTGAAAGATGATACACTTTTCCTATCCCTCTTGTTAACTAACATTAGAATTTGACATGGTTACTTTAGTAGCTCATATTTTTATGAGATATAGGCAAATTATTATTCATTTTTGTTATTACTCTATCTCATGGCCATCTTAAGTAAATATATCAAAATTATTTCAGCAAAGTATGTTAAGATAGCTGAGCAGGCAGTATTACTAGAACTCAGGTGAAACTTTGCGTTATCCATTTAAATTTTTAAATATGATACTCTTACTTTACATTACATTACTCAATTACAGAAGTTCTAGCATTTCTGTATCATTGTGGTAGGGTAATTATTTGAGTTCCTTGAAAATAATGACCTTTCTCTGAAGGTCATTAAATCCTAGAGGCCATTTTGAACCTACCAAATTTTAGTTATGTTATGAAAAACCATGAAAATGATTTTATGGAAAAAAAACAAAAAAAACCCAGAATGGACAGAAGCTGGGATTAAAGAGCCTTGTTCTATTATTAACTTTTAGGGGTTTTTTGTTGTTGTTGTTGTTGTTGTTGTTTTTAATCTGTGAAATTTAATATACCCTGAGGTCTTAAGTCATCATTTATCTTTAAAAATCTTTTTAGTCTTAGATGATAAAACAACTCTTAATATAACATTTTATTTTGAAATGTTGATTCACTAAGTATCAGAATATAATTTGTAAGAGTTTGTTTTAATATATGTATCGACACACAAATAGAATTTCTATACAAATCAGCAGTAGAATCACAATAAGGGTTTATACATTCCCAGCTACTAAGTTGAACTTCTTTGTAGTCTTATAAAATGTGGGGAAATAACTTACTGATATTTTTGGATTTTGATACTGAATAAAGAGGTGTTTCGGTTTTGTTAGCTGATAATTCTTATGTATAGATTACTGTTTCAAGTTGCAGTTACTTAACAACTTCAATTTTTTTTCCAATAATGCCAACCAAAGGGAAAAATATGCTTTAATATGAATTGAAGTAGTCAATTTTGAACTTAGTTTTTCACTAAAAGTTGAGATGTGATAAAAATCTTAGGCATCTGTGTGTTTTCTAAGCTATTGCAGATCCCAACCCCCTGCTAGACTAATAAGTGGAGAGGAACATTTTTCAAGCAAGAAGTGCCTGGCTTGGTTTTATGAATATGCAGGTAATGAAATTCATATAAGAAGATATCAGTCATATGCTTACAAAACTTTCTTTGGCTTACTCATTTAACAAATTATCTGTTACAGGCCTGCTATGTATTAGTGCTGTATACTGGGATCCGGGTCAGAACTAAAGGTTGTGGGTAGGCTCAAAATTTGTTGCCAGTTTAGGCTGATCTTTCTTTTAAATACATATTCAGTACATATTTACTGGGAGGGAAGAAACTCATTTACTATTAATAAAATATGTAAACAAAGACACATTCACTTATTTACATTCATTGGCTACAGCAGTATTCTGGAAAATAAAAGATACACAGTAAAACATTTTTTGTATTTGATATTGTGGAAAACACAAAGTACATCATAAAACATTTCTATTTAATATTCTTTTTGGAAATTTTTCTGAATTAATTCTGAAACTTTTAGGGAGACATAGTCAAAGATTTAAACCCCTCAGTTATAATTAGACAACACATTTACCTTTTCATAATTATCATTTAACAATCTACTTCCACTAGAGACACAAGCGTAAGAAAATAAATAGACTGATATTAATGCAATGTGATAAATACTATATTCAGAAGATACACTGTGAGAGTTCATAGGAGGAATATATAAGCCAGCATTTAAAATGTCATGGGAGTTTTCTAGAGGCACTAACTTAACCTCTGCTAAGTCCTGCCCAGGGTGGGGTTGTGTTTTAGAGGTGAGAGTCAAAGCCAGCCAGAGATGAGGCTGAGGAGTTAAGCAAATACATGCAAAAGAACACTTATTCTCCATTTATACTAACTTTCTTATAAGCATATATGAAATTTTTCCCCCTTAGAATAGTTTTTTTTATTTTAGAGTTAACTGATTTTAAAGCTTTGCTTTTCTTTTTCTTCTTTTCCCTGTTTCCCCCCCTTTTTTTTTTTTAAACATCTGCTTCCTTTTTGGTTTTTGTGGGTTTTTTCCCCTTCTTTTTATCACCGTCATTCTCCAAATTTCGTTTAAAATAAAAGTGTATATGTAGCTGTTGCCTTGTATGTAGTGCTCATCCACATTAAGGTCTAAAGTGGTGTACTCTGAACTCGAGATGTAACTTTAGGCTAATTGTATGGAATGTGAGACTGTTTTGAAAGGGGGGCAGTAACTTCATTGTTGGGATCAGCCGAGTGATCCCAAAAGTACAATTTTAAAATTGTTTAGTAACAGAACCCATTCTTTCCAGACCAGAAATAAATGCTATTACTGGCATCCCAAGACAACCACTAACCCAATTTAAATGAAGGAAATTCATTTCTTATTGACCTCCATTTAAAATGTTGACCCATTATTCCAAATGCCAGTTTTATTGGTATGCATGTGACAGAATCAAAAGGTCACTCATCTTATTTCACTTATAAAGGTTACTAGACACCATAGAAATAGAAAATATTTGCCTCAACTAGGAACTTTTCTAGGTAGCGTAAGGTTCTAATTAAACATTTGTTTACTGTATTAGCATTTTTAATAGCCAAAATAAGAATTGCCATTATTCCAGGAATTGTCCTAAGTATATATTTTTTCTCGTGACTGTTCTATTAAGTAGGTAGTATTATCACCACTTCTGTCCCAACTTTATTTTTTGAGACAGGGTCTCACTCTGTCTCAGGTTGGAGTGTAGTGTTGTGATCATGGCTCACTGCAGCCTTGAGCTCCTGGGCTCAGGCGATCCTCCCACCTCAGCCTTCCTAGTAGGTGGGAGTATAAGCAGGTGCCACCACCCCCAGCTAATTTTTTAAATTTTTTGTAGAGATGGGGTTTCACCATGTTGCCCAGGCTGGCCTCAAACTCCTAGGCTCAAGTGCTCTATCTGCCTCAGCTTCCCTAAGTGTTGGGATTCCAGGCATGAGCTACCGTGCTTGGCCATATCCTCATTTTATAGATGAGAAAACAGAGACTTAGATTAATTAATTTGCCCCAGACCATATAGTGACAGAAGCCAGGATTCAAACCCAGGTCCTTCTGATTCTAAAGTCCATGCTTTTAACTACTGTGCTTTTATGCATTTTAAATTTAAATTTATAATGCTTATAATTATATATAGTTATAAACATTATTTGATGTTTATTTTTTTATTCAAACTAATTTTCACTTTTGCAAAGAAAGTATTGGTATTCTTCGTTAACTTGTGTTAACCATTCAATAAATATTGAGTACTTGTTTTGAGTCAGGCATTGTGCTGAGTGCTGGATATATAGTGCTGAGCAAGTCAGACAAGATCCCTGCCCTTGGGGGACTTGCCTTCTAGTGAGGAAGACAGTAAACAGGTATGTAGGCAAGATAAGTACAGATTGTGGGGCATTCTAAGGATAAATACGGTGAGGTTTAGGAATAGAGAATAAGGAAGGGTTAGATGGACTTCAGATAGGCCTCTCTGTGGAGACCGCTTTGTACCTGATTAGGGAAGAACCATTTGTTTGCCAAATAAACAGTAACTGTTCTGTCTTGAAATAGGAATGTCCTTATTAAAATGAAGGCAATAATTGTGCCTACTAAGAATAATACATGTAAAGCCCTTAGCACAATACCTGGTATATAGTCAGAACTCAAATATTAGTTTAGCATTACCGCATTAGATTTACTCATCTGTTTTTTACAATGTTCCAAAATTCACTACTCTTATGGAGCTCATGTTGAAGGTGCTGTGTCACTGAGCATGTTTTTTCCCCCTAAGCATCTGTTATGGCTGGCATGGTATTAGGCCTTGCAGAGATAGCTGAGAACATTTCTTTACGGTTATAAGGAAATCAGAAAATTGACGATGTTTTTCTTTTAGTTTTGAAAGTATCACTAAACTTGTTACTATGGTATTACATCATGTGTGATAAGGCTGCTGGTTTTGTTCTTTCACAAGACCTCTCATTCTTGAGTGATATGTAAATTAAAAATGATTCAATAATATACTGCCTATGGTAATTAAAAACATGGAAAGTGAAAGGGCAGTTTTAAAGTTTCATAGAGTCAAAAAATAAGGTTGGAATTGCATAGTCCTAAGATAGTACCTAGCTGGTAGAGTGAAGTGAACTAGCAGGATGAACAAAATCATTTCTATAGCCTCTTCAGTTGAGTGGAAACCTAGTTATCCAGAAGAGTTAATTAAATTTAGCTCCAGAGGTTTTACGCAGAGAGTAGTTTTATTAGAAAGACTGGAAGCAATGTTATTGGAAGAACTAACAGTTTGCAGTCTGGGGAAAGCACATTGGTTTCAGACCTTGCTTTAGACTTAGATCCTTTACTATTTGCATTGCTTTGACTAAGTCAGTTAACATTTACAGACCTTATCTAAGTTATAAGGTATTATATCTCTATGTAATCTCATTTGACTTGATTCTAACCAAATTTTAATTTCTAATCATCAAGTAATCCTCCAGTTTCTAGGGGGTGCTATACTGATATTTCTTTTTTTTTTTTTTTCTTTTGAGACGGAGTCTCACTCTGATGGCCACGCTGGAGTGCAGTGGCACCATCTTGGCTCACTGCAACCTCTGCTGCACGGGTTCAAGCAATTCTCCTTCAGCCTCCCAAGTAGCTAGGGTTACAGGCACCTGCCACTTTGCCTGGCTACTTATTGTAGTTTTAGTAGAAACAGGGTTTCACCATCTTGGTGAGGCTGGTCTTGAACTTCTGACCTTGTGATCAACCTGCTTTGGCCTCCCAAAGTGCTGGGATTACAGGCATGAGCCACTGTGCCCGGCCTCTACTGATATTTCTTGACATCTTCAGCTTTCTCTTCTAGTCACTAATGGCAACTTTGAGAGCAAGTTTGTTTTCTTGATGCTTTAGAAAAATTTACAATATATTCTCATTATGGCTTTAAAAAAAACCATTTGTCTTTTCCCTTAATTTTTAATTGTTTATTTATTTTTTTGAGACAGGGCCTTGCTCTTGCCCAGGCTAGAGTGCAATGGCGAGATCATGGCTCACGAGGAGCAGCCTCAAATTCTTGGGCTCTAGCAATCCTCCCACCTCAGTCTCCTGGGTAGCTGGGACCACAGACTGGCACCACCACACTTGGCTATTTTTTTCCTTAGAGACGAGGTCTCCCTATGTTGTCCACGTTTGTCTGGAACTCCTGGGCTCAAATGATACTCCCACCTGGGCCTCTAAAAGTGCTGGGATTACAGGCATGAGCCATCACGCCTGGCCTCCCTAAATTTTTAAAGCTGATTTTTGATTTCTTTCAGTCATATATGAGAATACTCAGTTATGCATTTTTAACACCTTTATTGTATATGTATGCCTTTGGAATTACAAAATTAACACATTCTCATTGAAATAATTCTCAAAATATATAAGGGAGAGAAAGTGTCCCATAATTATCACCCCCTTCACCTTTTAACACATGAATGTATTGTTAGTACTTATTTAAACCCAATCACATTTACCATGTTACACAAAAAACTTCACAGGGGTTTTGGTTTCAGACTATGTATTAATGTGATCTTAGCAGCTTGGATCTCGGGCAGCAAGAATGTATTGACTTTGTGTTGTGCTTGTAACCTAAAGATGGTGCTATCAAAGCTACCTGAACAGTGTTGGTCTAGTCTGGTTTATAAAGCTGGAGGATTTTCATCCTTTATAAAGGAAAATAGAGGCTTCGCTTGACTATTAAGAATTATATTTCAAGATTATATTTTCAAAATCCCATATGGTAAACACATTTCTCTCATATTATTACAAAATTTGTTTTTTAGTCGTACCTAGTCAGAAAAGAGACCTAGTGATGATGTAATTACTATATTTTGGCAATCTGCTAACATTTTGGAAAAATGATAATTGATATATTGACTCATTAATGTTACTAAGGGCATAAAATAAGGAACAAGTTAAATACCGGTAATTAATTTTTGGACAAATGATAGATAGTAGCTAATTGAAGGATTAAACTTTTGTTTCTACATTAAGATGACGTTAATGCTTGCTGTCTGTTTTAGAACCAAGATGACAAGAAAAATAGCTCTTTCTGGAAATGGAATGTAGTAATTTCCATAAGTCATTATTTTCAAAATATGTTTATCCTTTTCAGTAAATAAATTATATTTGAGTATATTTCAAAAGGGTAATAATGGCCTGTTTTATAAGTGAACATATTCCCTTTCTGATGACTGTAGAACTTTCTGTTGGTTCTGACAGTCCAGTAGACTAAGAAGCTCCAGCTGCCTGATGTTTTTTCATATTCATGCATTGTCAAAAATTTTATTCAGAGTAGGCACTCAGCAAATGTTTTTTTGACGGATAGGTTTGACTTTGTACTAACTCATGATTGATACTAATGGAGTATTTCTTTGCTGCTTTTTAAAATTTTCTTAGTTTCATATTGTAATGTGGTGCTCAAACAATACTTCACAAATTTTAAATTTAAATCTTGTAGCAAATATTTATACTTATAAAAGCTATGCCAAAATTCAATGGTTTGCAAAATATTATGGTGTATTCATGGGTACCTGTAGCATGGTGGTTTATGTTTTATGTTGATATTATAACAAAATATGTAAATTATTTTTGTCTTTGAAGGTCCTGATGAAGTTGTAGGGCCAGAAGGAATGGAAAAATTTTGTGAAGACATTGGTGTTGAACCTGAAAATGTATGTTTTATTTCTAAGTAGGATGGCATAAAAGTGGGGTATAGCATATTCATAAATTTCTAAAAATTGAGACACTTTAATCTTGTATTAAGTTTTATTTCTTCATGTTTAATATTGTAAATTTGCATTAGGGTATTTTTAATCAGTTTAAGTTGGGCAAACGTGTTCTTTCTTGATTCAAATTCTATATGTAATAGAATAAGAGATTCTACCTTCAGAAACTGTTAGAACTTTTTACTTTTAAGAAATTGGCACATCTCAATTTCTTTACATATAGTTAATTTCAGAGGTTATACTCTTTAATAGTTGAAGGATGGAAGTAGTTATGTAAAAATGCTCTCCATGATAAATACAGACATGATTATCTCTATGCTGACCTTTCCCCTATCCTTTATGTTCTGTTCTTTCCAGATTATTATGTTAGTTTTAGCGTGGAAATTGGAGGCTGAAAGCATGGGATTTTTTACCAAGGAAGAATGGTTAAAGGGAATGACTTCATTACAGTAAGAAATTTTTTTAAAAAACAAATTTGATGGCCTATTTGAAGATCTTAATTGATACTTTGTGCTTCATAATTTTCAGGAGTAAGGTTGCACCTTAAATCAAATCTGTTTGATCTATAACTATTAGTTTGGGGATTGAAAAAATTATATTGTGGTCTTAGCAAATGAATAGATACCCCGTGTTTTATATTCTCTAAGAAAAAACCTTAGTACAGTTCTATTAAAATTCTTTGATTCTCTTGGTGAGTGACTTAAAAGTCCATTATCAAAGACCTATTTATTTACAGGTTGTTTGAGTATAAGGTTTTTCCTCTCTGAATACAGAATTCTACTATCTAAGGAATATGTTTGTTGGGCAGCCCTAGGCTCTGGGGCCTCCTCTCTCCCTTCTTCACTTTTATATTTGACTTTAAAAATTTGAAGATAGAGTTACATAACACTTTTATGATTTCTTTATTGCCAAGTGAACTTCATAAAGGACAAAAGTAGAATTGTTGTAACCTCTTCCATGCGATCTTTACACATTTTATAGGCCTACACTTTCAGTTTAGGATCCTGTCTTTGAACATTTTCATAGAATTGTACCTTATAAAAATAATTTGATTTTGGCTTTCCTGAATGGACTGTGCTCAATTACTAACTTGGTGTTAATTTTCTAATGTTCCTGCAGGGAGGGTATTAGTTACCAACATTCTAAAATCGAGGAAGCATGTATTTATAATATTTTTGAGGCAAAACTGGGATTTAATTAGCTGTGTGGTTTCCTGTTGTGATTATGCTTTCATTAACACATGTAATTATTCTTTATTTTTGGTCTGTCCTTAACTTTTTTAAAAAAAGTGTTTATATGGCACTTAAATTTTTAAATTTGAATTTTCAGTGCCTAATGATTTATAACTCTCTGTTTTAATAGACATTAACATGTAGACATGTAGATATTTTATATATGTATTCTTGGGTAAAGGCCTTTGTTCATGTGAACCAAATCATAATTGCTTGAATGGAATGCAAAATCAACCCTCCCACTTCCATTTTTTTATAGCCTGAGACCCAGAGAGGCTAAGAAAATATTTGGCACAACTTCTTAGTAGTAGTGCTTAGTTAGAACCTAGAATTCAAATTTCCCGATTACCAATCTATAATACTGTATTCCTACTATATTGTTATTTTCTATGTAAATTAGCATCCTTATAAAATAGGGAACCCCTATTTTTAAATTACAGCATTTGCTACCAATACTGAATTCTGCCATATATCTAGGTGTCCTAATATGCTCAGGTAAATATATCAGTTCTGAAATTCCTTGGATTATTTCTCACCATTTAGTTAGCTTTTTAGAGAACAATTAAATATACAAAAGAATATGCAAAGAATATTGATTTTATACAACTCAGTGGGGTTTACTGAGATTTGTGTTGTAATATTAATTTAAGACATTTTATTTGTCATTATAAGTGGATTTTGGACTATTGCTACTACTTCTTTTTGGTTACTGCTTTTTGAAGTATCTCAGCTAACAAGTGGCTGTACATTTTTAAACCTTAAAGTTTCTTATTTATGTTTTTGCATAAGTTGATACCGTATAAAAAGTCTTTATATAACAAAAATGTGTAAGCACAAAGCATTTCTAATATATACTCCTGAATAATCAACATCATGTGTTAATCACATCATGAACATGTTTTCTTTATTATTTGAGGCAGAGTCTCCCTCTGTCACCCAGGCTGGAGTGTGGTGGCGCGATCTCAGCTCACTGCCACCTCTATCTCCCAGGTTCCAGCTATTCTCCTCCCTCAGCCTCCTGAGTAGCTTGGACTACAGGTGCAAGCCACCATGCCTGGCTAAATTTTTGTATTTTCAATAGAGATGGGGTTTCACCATGTTAGCCAGTATGGTCTTGATCTTCTGACCTCATGATCCGCCTGCCTTGGCCTCCCAAAGTGCTGGGATTATAGGTGTGAGCCACCATGCCTGGCTGAGCATGGTTTTTATTAGCACACCTTTCCCATAGGAAGGTCACAGGATATACAAAATAAAAGCAATTATTCAGCACTTAATATGTCCCAGAAGTTTCTCTTTCACTCATTTATTATTCTTTCCCCATTTGCCTGGAATAACGTACTATAGAGCCTTGAAACTACTGAGGAATGCTTGAAGTGAGCATTCTTTCCCTGGAAAATAGCTGTTTTTTTCCCTTCATGATCTAGATTACCATGTAAAATATCAAGTGTTTGTCCTCAATTAGCCAAGTCTTATTACTCCTTGAATTTCCTTATAAAAAACTTGCTATGAATAAAACAGCAAGGAAATTTGAACCAAAGTAGACAAAAAATCTGTTATGTCTTAATTTAGAATTTATTCGTTGCTTGGTATACTTGGTTCTATATAATAAACATAATCTTAAAATATGAAACTTTGGTCTCAATTCCCTTTGGTATTTTTCATACTTTTATAATTTCACCTGGACATCCAGTGATCTCTTAAATCATATTAAGATAGTCATGAGTTGTTTCAATTAATTAATTTTAACTCATAAAACTCTTTAGAGCTATGTTAGTCTGTTAAAAAACAGAAAGTCTGGTAGTTTAAAACACTCTGTTCAAGGATAGTAGACTGTAATAATCATGATTAGTTATCTATATTGTGTAATGCTCTATAGTTTGCAGAATACTTTTTAACAGTTGTTTATTTGTATTCATATAGGCTTTCTGTAACTGAGTTGGCTTTCCTTCTTGTGTGAAAGACTTTGTGGGTATATGAACCTGCATGTAAATGACCAACAGTAGCCATTTTCTAAGTTTCAGGGGATGAAATTTCCATATGCTTTTCACATATATTCTTCCATGTAGTTTTCATTTTTGTTTAATAACAGCCAAATGTCCTTGCAAATCTAAGATGTTAATTTTTTTTTTTTTTTTTTTCCTGGAGACAGGATCTGGCTCTGTTACTCAGACTGGAGAGTAATGGCACAATCATGGCTCACTGCAGCCTTGATCTCCTGGGCTCAAGTAATCCTGCTGCTTCAGCCTCCCAAGTAACTGGGACCACAGGAACATACTGCCACACGTGGCTAATTTTGTTTTTTTTTTTTTTTGTTTGTTTGTTTTTTAAGAGACAGGGTTTTACTATGTTGCCCAAGCTGGTTTCTTAACTCCTGGGCTCCAGTGTTCCTCCAGCCTTGGCCTCCCAAAGTGTTGCAATTATAGGCGTAAGCCACTGTGTCCAGTATTAATTTTAATTTAATTGTGTAGTTATTTATATTAGATACCTATGTTATGTAAGGTACAGGATCACTTACTGATGATCACAGCAAGGCAAAAGATGTAGCTTTTGCCCTTTAGTTATATTCTGCTAGGTCAGGGAAAGCAAACGTTACAATGCTGTAACCCAGCCAACCTTTATGGCGCCAGAGATCAGTTTTATGGAAGACAGTGTTTCCACAGATGGGGCAGGGAGAAAGGATGGATGGCTGCAGGATAAAACTGTTCCACCTCAGATTATCAGACATTAGATTCTCATAAGGAGCATGCAACCTAGATCCCTCACATGCATAGGTTCACGCTCCTGTGAAAATCTAATGCCACTGCTGTTCTGACAGGAGGTGGAGTTCAAGTAGTAATGCTCACTCACCTGCCTGCTGCTCACCTCCTCCTGTGCAGCCTAGTTCCTAACAGGCCCCGGACTGGTACTTATGCTCAGCCCAGAGATTGGGCACCTTGCTGTAACCATAAACCTAGGTAGACTATGACAAGTGCTAGAGTGGAAATACAAGATACTATGAAAGCACAGATGCTACTAAGGTCAATTTCAGCAGAATAAGTAGGTAGATATTTATAGGTGTGACCTGTGAACTAGAACGTGAAGAATGATTAAGTTGGTTGAGGATATAGGAAAATGTTTCAGAAGAGGGAAATTGTGACCAAGGCCTTGAGGTGGAAGGAAAGTAAATGTTTGAGGGAAGTAGTTTGATTTCTTAGAATTGTAAGGTACATAAAGAAAATTGCCAGGATAGAGTTGGAATTGTAGCTATTTTAAGTGATGGCTTCATTGCGGAGGGCTTTAGCTAATATGTTGAGAGAGTTTAAATCTATATTACAGATATTGGGAAACTGCCAGAGATTTTAAAGCACAGGAATCTTAAAAGATTTTTGGGATAATTTTCAATGAGCAATTGTTTTTAATAAAGTCATAGTCTCTTTTGAGAGTCTTTGGAGAACTATGGACCTCATTCCCATTAAGAGGCACATGTACTGCTACACACAAAAATTTGATGTGCTGTCAGGAGGTTGTGGAATTTCTCTTCCTTCCTCTGTAGATATGAGGTTCCAAGGATGCCTGGCAAGTTTTTGTTCTGGCATACTGTACTAGGGTGGAGGTCTTTTCTTATATCTGCTAGCTGAAAGTCTGGTGTTGGAGCAAGGGTGAAATACTATGCCAGTGGAGAAAACTGAACATAGACTTTTGAAAAGGACTGTTCTTGATTACTGATACTGAAAAAAAGACAAGACAATAGCATCTGACAACAGTGTTAGTAACTAAGCTGTCTGCCAGTAGGCTGCAGATTGTAAATCTAGTATCTGTATTGAGGCCCGGACTTTGAAGCTTAAAGGGGATGGTGTGGCTTGACCGTCTGAGAGAAAAGGGAATAGGGAAAATTCATATGATTTTTTTGGTGGGGGTGGAAGAGAGGAGTAAAAGAAATGCTGTCTATCATTTCGTTCATTTAGCATTTGGGGCCCAACTACTAATTGCCATTAGCATCCCTCCCCTTTGTTGATGACAGTTTCAAAATGCCTCTCTGCACATTTTTAAATACCCCTAGAAGTAGATGGTATTGTTTTGGTTGAGAAAGCTTATTTAGAGGAAGTTCTAAATCCAGAACTTTGTGCCACAGTTCTTCATGTTACACATCACTGTGTCACAGCACAGTCATTGGGACTTACGAATTAGGAAGAAAGCCTCACTTAGCCTCTAATACACGAGACTTTCTTCTCACTTAA